AATATTTGCAGCCTTGCATTATTTTTTTCTCCTTTTATTTTGTTTAATCAATTTAATTTGTATCTCTATTTCTATTATTATTTCTTAAATAAAAACATTATTTTAATAAATAAATTTAACAAACACAACCAAGTAAATATCATATCTTACGAGATTAACTATCTTGGTCTATATTTTTATTTTTATTTTTAGTTATCATATATAGATTCTTTTTTATTTATTAAAGCATATAATTCTTGATTTGATTACATGAATGCATATAATTGTTTTTATTTAAAAAATGTTGAAGTAGAAAAATATATTAAAAAACTTATATATATAATCTGTATTTTAATAAAAAAAAAAAAACAAATATTTAACCATTTCACCCTTGGTGAAGTACAGGGTCAATTATTAGTGAGTACTTACTTAGACCTAGTATCTAGTGCGTTAATAAGTCTTGAGGCTATAACTTATTTAATCAGGAAGAGAGGTTATCTTTCAATAAATAAATAAATAAAGTTCAGGGGTTATCATTTGTCACCATTATTCATCTTGATTGACAAGCTTTGGCCATCATTTGACCTTTGTTCTGATCATTGAAATTCAAAGGTTGAAGCCACCCTGGTTCATTTTACTAAATGCATGCTCGTTTCTCGAGTCTAATAAAACAACAAAGCATGCCGAAAAAGAATGGCTCCCCTACTCAAGTACACTCCGATATCAAACTTGATGTGAAATTATGCTATGATTGTTCGAGTAATTTTTATGAATGCAAAGCATTTCCAGTCAAATCGGAAGGCATTCTCGGTCAACACATATAGTAAATTAATGTTCCAAGACGATCAAAGGTGAAGACAAATGCTGTAGAGGTTCTTTTTGTCAAACAAAATGCACTTGGCTTGGATGTTAGGTGGAATTACACAATTTAGAAAACAGGCAAGTCAAGCTAACAAGTGATGCTGCGAGAATTGTAAAAATCGATGGTTACGAGGATTTCAAGGGAAAAAATTGACATGATTATATTGGAGATTTAAGTAAAGCAAACTTATTATTTTTATTTTAGATTCTGTTATAGTTTTCTTAATGCTTTCGGATTTCATAACAAAATCTTCCATTATCTCAAATTAATGACCTTGAGTGTTTGATTAATAATCAACCACACATGAGTCTCGTTGGCTTGAATGAACAAGACTACTAGTTAGTTCATGGTGCCACTGGAATCAAATTTATGGCCAACAAAACATAATGAATTTAACCAATTATATTGATAGATGTGAATGCATTAATCGGTCCCACTACACAATAATAGAGCAAATACTTCTTGCTTTGAACAGCTTTGGAGGGTTTGTTGTACCTCAAAACGATCAATTAAATCTTTGACGAGAACAACTATATACTTATTGTGCTTAACTCTGTTCTGATGATCATCACTTTCTGCCCACTATAGCCAAAATCTTGTTCGTACGTGGTAATGAGCTAAGAAAACCCTAAGAAAATTAACATAAAATTGTAAGGAATAGCATGAACTGAAATCAAGATCTCACGAGGGGTATTAAAACTAATAAATAAACATATCTTTTTTCTGCTTGTTGTGGATGAGTACAGATTGAGCTACATGATGACATTATATTTTAATAATATTTATATAGATATAGAACAGCTTGAAAGGGACTCAAGGATATTTTCTTGATATCAAATATGTATTATTATTATTATTTTATTTCCTGAGTAAGATCATGATAGCAATACTTAATAACTTATAATAGTACCAAGATTCGATTATTGCTTAGTCATGGCAATTGGAAATTTGTTTGTTCTTCGATTTTTTTAAAAGAATAATATATAACAAATCTTCTTCTTCTTTATCATTGTTATTGATTTTGATCATGATCTACCTTAATAATTACTCCATTAATTTCTCAAATAATAATGCATAACAAATCAACCCTTTTGTTGGGGTTTTCTTTATCTTTATCATTATTATTAATTTTGATGATGTGATATCTCATATATCCCAGGTAAATTCTTACTGTTTTTGTTTTTTTACTAAAATTACATAATGATTTTTTTATAAGAATAATAAATAACAAACAACAGCACTTTTGTTGGGTTTTTCTTCTTCTCTATCATTGTTATTAACTTTGATCATGATCTAGCTCATATCTTTCATAAAAGACAACTTATGCCGGCAAATGAATCATATTTTAGAGTTGATCGAAATTGAAAAACTAAAAGGAAAAGATTTATGCTAATGACATGATGCGAACATTGCAGTTATGAGTAATATTTTGACCAAAAACCTAGAAAAAAAAAAACATCACATGATGTTTAATGTGCATGTTTCTTTTAAGATTTGAGATAAAGAAGATTAAAAGCATGCGAAAGACTTACCATCAAAGCACTTTTTAAAAGAGCATATGTATCCTGATTGGTTTTGCAGTTGAAAAGTATTATTGTAAAAAAGTATTATTTTATATTTTAAAATTTTTTTATATACTAATATTAAAAATAAATTTTAAAAAATTAAATATATATATTATTTTAATATAATTTTAAATAAAAATAAATTAAGAAACACCCATTACCACTATATCAATCCTTTTTCTCCGTGTAATCAATGAACTCCATTTCATCCTTCCTTTTCAAAATCATTAGCACAGTAGTCCCATAAGCCCAATTGCACCTAATTTTCCTTCAAAAGCATAATGACTCTCACCCCAATCCAAATCAAGAACGAGAAAAAGAACCATTCTATGGAACTTTAGACTGTTCTTTTCTCCATGAAGTGACTTCATTTGAAAGGATATGAAAACTTCGTTAAAGGTGATGGATTTGACAGAACTTAGAGTCACTATTTGGCATTTGGTGATAAATTGGGTAAAAGTTGCTTCCATGATTAATAGAGTCATGTAGTTTCCAATGTAACGATGGCATGTTTGGACAGGTGTTGTAGGATGGAACACACAATTTAACCGTTATCTAAGCTAATTTAAATAAATTTAATTGGAGAGTGTTTGTTTTTTATTATAATATGTTTTTAAAATGTTTTTTTATGTGTTTTTTAAAATGGTTTTGATTTGGTAATATATAAAAAAAATATAATTTTTACAATCTTAAAGATTCCAAGTTAATTAGTACTCCGTTCGTCCATTTATATAGTATAATTTTGACCTTCTCTTTTACATAATTTAACTTTCATCACCTACTCTTTTATTAAATTTATAAATTTAAAAACTTTTAAAGTAATAATTATTTTAAAAATAAATACACTCATAATTTAATGTTTCACTCCGAGAAACTATTTCAGTGCGAAGCAGGAGGCTGTGACTTGATGGGGGTAGTTTGAAGCAGTAAAGCTACAGACATATGCAGAAATTTGAGAGCTGAATGTAATGTGGTCATATCACGAACTTCATTTTCTCCATGAGGATTGTAGCTAGCTAGAGGACTAGCAGGCTTTATGTTCATGAAAGATACATCACTTGTCCCAAAAACAGTAGCTTAATTAATTACAGTCAGAAGTAACTCAAATAATGGCTGGAAGTCTTAGGGAAAATTATCAGGATTTTTCTGTTCTTATTATATATATAAAAAAAATAGATTTAATCTCATTACGTAAAATTAAGTTGCTTAATTAATGAAAGATAGAAATAAGTAAAATGATGGAGAAAAGAAAGACTAAGCATAACGACTGAAAACACAACGGATAATTCGATATATATGGAGAAAATTTTTAAAAGATTCTTTATTTTACTGGCTAAAAATATTAATTTCAATTTTTTTATTTAAAAATAACCTTAGAGTGCAGCCCACCTCCTTCACTATTTATATTAAGAGTGAAAGAGACGTTCTCTTTTTCTTTTCTTTTTTGTTGCATTTCCCACTTCTTTTTTTCTTTTTATTATTTTTTCTTGATTTTGAATTTGTTTTTAAAAATTATTTTGGTTTGCTTTCTTAGTTTCAAATAAATATTTTATTATCATATAATTATTAAAAATAATTTTTTTTAAATAAAATTCTTTAACTCAATGAAATCCAAGACTTAAATTATATATTTAGCAAGTTAAATTATAAAATTGAGATTAATCTAATATATTGTCATTTTAATATTAAAAAAAGATATTCTTAGTGTTTTTAAAGATAATCAACTATATTTTTTACTAATAATTCGAATTATCTTAAATTAGTTAAATTAATTATATCATATTAAGTCATTTATTATTTAGTTTAATTTTAAATTATAGATAATAAAAAAAAACAAATCAAGAAAAATGTTAAGGTTAAATTATTAGAATGAAGAATTTATTACTAATGAAAAATAATCCTCTGACATATATATATATATATATAAAAATCAAGAAAAATGTTAAGGTTAAATTATTAGAATGAAGAATTTATTACTAATGAAAAATAATCCTCTGACATATATATATATATATATATATAGAGTAAATGTCCACCTCCATGTGGCTGGCAATTCACATGCAAAAGATTCAATGCCAACCTCGTTTTGCTGGTTATCTCAATATTTTAATAGAAATGATTTTGAAAAGAAGATCATACGGCAGGTGTGTTATTTAAAAAAAATTGCAAGAAAATTTGTTTTTCTTCCTTAAACAATCCTTTGATAACTAACACTTGAAGTCAAGAATAAAAAATAAAAGCAGCACTGTATTAGATGAATAATAAAAGAAACAGAAAGCTGAGGAACCCAAAGCATTAATGATATCTCTCTCTGTATACACACAATCCTAGAGATCAAGACTGAAAAGAAAAGTCAAGCTTTTCTGATTTTTTTAATCCAAACCCTTGTATATACTCTTGTCATCTTCTTCACTTCTTCCATTTTATGCACGCAGTAGTGTTTTTTTTTACTTTAAAGAATGCCCACATGGTATCACCAAATGGAGGGAGGGAGGGAGGGGGAGAGGGTGGAGGGCTGTTCTTGAGTGATTTTCTCCGCTTCAAAAGATGAAATGGCAAGTCCCATCTTGTATAAATCTCTTCATTTAGATTTTCTCCGCTTCAAAAGATGAAATGGTAAGTCCCATCTTGTATAAATCTCTTCATTGAGCTTTCCAGTCATGTCTGATGGATGTACTTATTTTAACTGTTGAAACTTCTGTTCCTCAGCTTTCTGTCCCATCCACCAATATTCCAAAAGGAGTGCGGGACTCATTAGGTCTGCTCCCAATCGACCAGCAGCACTGTCTTTTTACTCTCTCTTTCCCTAGCTAATTTTCCTGGCTGTTCTGGTAAATAACAAGAAACAAAGGAAGAAGAAAGTAGGAAAGAAAGAAAAAATCTCCTCCCCACATGAAATCTCAAAGCTGAATGACAAAGGTTTATAGCAGGACCTTGAATGCATTGTAGTGCCACAAATACTCAACAACAGACTATGTTTTTAGATGGGAAATGGCATTGTTGTTTCAAGGTCTTGTTATAAACCCTTCTTTGCTTCTCCAAATGTAGTGTTTGGGTCCCCAGACCAATCAAAGATACTGAATGGATCCAAGTCCTTACTTTCTTTCAGCTCATCTCCATTGAATTCTTGTGTAAACAAGAGGTCAAGAGGGTCAGCATCTATTTCTCCCAGTTCAGCAAAGAAGTCTTGATCAGATTGATTTGGCATTGATGGCTTGTAACTGTGAGAAAACCCTTCGCTGAAATCAGTATCATCCATCTCCATTTGCTTGTCAATGTCATCAAACTCCTCTTTGACAGATGCACTTGCTGTTGACCTACCACCAATAATATTGGCAGGAGACAATGTATCATTGCTGCTCTCCTTCTGTTCTTCTTTTGTATTTCCTCTTTTTTGTGATTGAGAACCTGTGGGGCTCTTTGAAGCTGCTGTGCTCTTTAGTGGCTGGGACCTTGTTGAGCCAGCTAGTGCATTTCTCTGAGTTGGCCATGGATGGTTGTGCTCAGAAGTGTAGGTGATCACCAACATGTTAGGATCAGTTCGGCTCCGCTCTACTTGTTTCCTTGCTGAGCAACCCTTAGAGCTGCTGCATCTATAGTAACCCCTAGATGTGTGGAAAGACATGGTTTAACATTCAATGCAATTTTTCAGCCAAATATTTACAGTCCATTTTTATTATAATAATTACTTAAATCAAATATTGAGCCAGTCATGGTGAATCTATGCTTAAAAAAAAAACTCAGTATTTTGGAAGTAATTCCTGCTAACGATTCAAGCATGCAAATACATTGGAAAGTGGAAACTATTTGAACCTGTTGAGCTCCAAGAACAATAGCGCATCCATTTATCAATACTGTAAGTTACAACCAGTAAATCAATGTTAAAAAAGCTGTTTACGTACCAAAAAACAAGCTGTTTGAACTCAGTGTCTAGGGGAACTTTACTTGGGTTCAACAGAACTTTTTCAGGACATTACTTTGCAACAATTTATTACATTTCATGTCCAAGAGGGTGAAAGAAAAACAAAAAGAAATAAATCAAGAAACAATTTTCTTTTTCAGGCAATGATATAATTTGTCAGAGAAAAAGAATAATACGAAGTCCAGCTCTTTGTTCTTTGTAATCTGAGAACTTTATATATAGTTACCATGTATCTAGAGTGACAAGAAAAACAAATTTTCTTACCTTGGATAAGGAGAACCCTTGATGGGTTTTTGTCCATATTTTCTCCATGCCCATAAGTCAGATGGAACTACTTCTCCACCAGGCCTACTGTTTGCAGCTGCTGGTGCTGGAATACAAACCACCTTCTTTGCCTGACTCTTCCTGAAATAACAATACAAAAATCTTGGTCTTTCCTTACCTTTCCAAAATCCAAGGCTCAAGATAGAAGAATTCACTGAAAATGATGATGAAGAGGCAATAAACAAATATCAACGATTTTATCAACTTTAAAGTATTGTGCAAGAATGATTCAATTTCCATTCTGGGGCAGGAATGGATGCATCAATTTGAGTTTTTTTTTTTTCCGTCTATAAGAAGCTTGAAAGGGATGGCAAATCCCTAAAGACAACCGACTACAAATCATTCAAGCACATATATAGCTATCTTTTCAGGTGATCAGTTGAGGAATATAAGCAAATAAATAAATGAAAAGTTGCTTGAGATAACTACTAGCACGAAAGCTATGTCTGTGAATGCTATTATGACACCAGTTAGGCTACCTTTTCAGGTTACTTGATTAAACCCCATCAAAGATTTTGTGTAATGTAGACAGTCAGTGAACAATCTCATCTGAAAAGTGAAGGTGTTTGCCACCCCTATCAAGAACCTATCCATGTAATCAATCAAAAGACTAGCTAGTACATATACTTTACGTCAAAACCCTAGATTCCATAGATCCTGTTCATCACCACTCCTATGATTATACTATTTATTATCATTATCAACTTCAATTAATGAAGTCAAGATTATTATAAAAAAAAAAATAGCTTACACTAAAAGTTGCATAGAAATCAAAATTCAACTGTATTAAATTCATAGAAACAAGTGACACAACTAACTTTAAGAATCACTTACCTTCTCTTGATCCCCATGTTCCTTGGAGATGAGATCTGCACTTGTCCAGTGTTCTCCATCAAGCAACCTTTTGAGTTATTAACATTAATTATATCACTTGAAACCATAGCAGAAGGCTTAAACCCTCTCGGCGAAGAACCGGTAGCTATAACCGGAGAATTACACGGCGAAACAGGCAGCTTTGGTGGATTATTTGGTGAGATCTGAATTCTTGAAAATATATTGCAAGGAGCAGGAGGAGGAGTAGCAGCCTTATGGATCTCGTGATCTTCAAACACTCTTTGATGAGCAAGAATACTGCTACTAGAACTAGTAATAGCATTATTTGCACCAACAAAACTACTAGTGTGATCATGATCAACACTAGTGGCACCCAACACATGATCTGCTGAATTTTGGCTGCTAAAATAGCTTGAACCAGCAGCAACGTTAAGCTCATGAAGAAGGGGATCTCTCATGTTGCAAAAAGGATCACCAAAAAGATTACCTCTACTCTCTCCCATAGTGGATGATGGATCAAAAGGGAATTCCCAGTTTGAAACAGGAACATCTGCTTGGCCTAAAGCTCCACCACTAGCTCGAAGAATATCTGTTAAATCACCTTGATAATTATCCATTTTGAGGCCAAAAAACCTGCATATACTAGCGTGGAATCAAAGAATAAGAGAAGAACGATGGTAAAGGGTCATTTATGAAGAGGGATAGCTAGAGAACAGTATTGTTTGGTGTGGGATTGTGTTTCTTACACCACACAAAACGTTAAAAACATAAAACAAAACAAAACATGCAAAATCTAGTTTAGCTACAAGGATCAAGGCTTTTGGTTAAGACATGAAAGCAAGCAAGAAAACAAGATAGGTTTTTGAAGCTTGAAACTGAACCGGGTGTTTCTTTGTTGTAGTGCTTCTTCTTGATTTGAAGAACAAACAAAAAAGGATTTAATTTAAAAAAAAAAAAACAGAGAGAGAGATAGAGAGAGGAGAGGGAGAGAATGATCAACAGAGTCGCTGACTTTTCATACATAAAGGGTTCTTCTCTCCACGCAAGAATGAGAGAGAGGGAGAGGGGGTTTGGGTGCGTGTTTTTTTAAGTTCAAGTGAGAATAAAGATATTGAACTAGCTAGCTAGCTAGGTGCTGATTTATCTTAAAGTTTTTTTTTTTTTTTTGGTATAAATTTATCTCGTAGTTAATATAGTTTGAATGTACAAGTCTACGGCATGGCTTGGCACCGCAAGCTGCACGCACCCATCAAACATATGATTTTTATTCGCGAAAAGTAAGGTAGGTGCCCTGTAGTGCGTAACATTACCAAACAAATTAATACATGGCTAACGAGATACATGTTTCTTGTGAATATTTATATGCCGTTTTAATGCAAATAATATATCTTTGATCATAATGTGATGAATTTAATCTCTTTAGTGTAAAGTTAGTGACTTTAGAGAATAAGTTAAATGATTAAAAAAATTTAATTTTATTCTTGATTTTTTCGAACCACAATTTTTAAAAAACATAAAGTAAAATTTTAATGAGAGTTTGTTTTTGTATTGCATCATGTTTTTTAAAATGCTTTTTAAACCACTTTTAATATGAAAATATATAAAATTAGTACTTTTTAAATTTTGTAAATATACTAATATCAAAAATAAAAAAATATTTTCAATTCAAAAATACTTTTGAAAAGTACAGTCATTTAATCTTTGTTAATGTCTAAGATAACTTAATTCAAAAATAATATTGGAAGATTAGTTCTAGGTCAAATTTATATACCTAATTTTATAATATTTTTTTATTAATATAAATGTGTAGATCATATTTTAATTAATTTTACTTATCCTAACAATAGAATTCAAACTTGAAAGTATAAAAAAAAATTTAATTATAAATTTTTAGCATTAGACTACCTAACAAATGATTCTAATGTTATAGTATTGTTATTATCAGTTAGTGTAGGATGATTTTGGTTTTGTACTCTTGCTATTGTCTCAATTAAAGCAAGGAAATGAAAGGAGACTTTGCAGTAAAGTCTTTTTATTTTATATATAAAAACTAATAATAAGTGATGGGGAAGTAAAGAGGCGGCAAGTAGCCGCATTTCTCGGCAATACGTTTCGAAACGCTTGATTAGTGAGACTCTTTTGTATTTTCTTTTCATTTCTTTTTCATTAAGAAACGTTTCGAAGGCAATGATGAGCACCTCTCATTGTGATGTGCTTGTCTCTTGCGCATATGGTTAGCTTTCTACAGTCTCTCCCCGCCCTCATTCCCACCCAAAAGAGAACAAAAGGGAATGATCACAATTTTTAGCCAAACATAGTTGATAAAATTTGAATTGTTGTGTGGTGATTCTAGTAGGAATTTAGTTTTTAAACTTTATTTAGTTATAGGTTTGGGGTTAACTTGCATTGATTTAGGTTAAATTTTTTAATCAAATTACGAGCCAACTTAAATTTTTTATAGAGTTAAATAGAGTTAATTTCTTTTTATATATATGTATACCTAGACTAGTCCAAGCTCTATGTCAACCGGGTCAAGAGTTTTACAATATAAGTAGGATCAAGATATAGTTAGAATTGCTTCCAATAAAGGACTATAGTATATATAACACTCAAATCCAAAGTGCAAACTCTAATATTGGTGACACCTAATTAATATGAAGAATATACATAATCAAAATAAGCATTAATTGACAATGTCGGTTTCTGCAAGAGTTAGCTCTTAATTACTGAAACATGCCAAGCACTAAATCCAAAATTAGTCGAATTGATTGATTCAATTAGATGCAATGATGTCAGCTAATCAAAAACCAGGTCAATAATTCTCTGGATCCATTTATAATATAACTATTTGGCGTTATTAATTCAATGGAATATGTGATTTAAATTGCATTAAACATACAAGCCGTCAACTTTTTCTTTTTCTTTTTCTTTTTCAATGCTAAAGGAAATACATTGCCACTAGAAATGAATTATCACTCTAGGTGCATTCTCTGTGGTTAAATTATAAATATATATATATAAAGAGATGGTAGCAGCCAATAAACATATGAAATCTAACCATTTAGTAGAAAAAATTAAGAAAAGAAAAAGGGTAGCAGCAAATACCTCTGGTTATGGATGCCATGATCGTTGGAACACACTTCATTCCAGAACATGGATGCCCTTGAATTAGGGTTTTCTTTGTAAACAAGGGTTTAGAGTAATATATAGTTCCAAAGCAAGATGGACATGGAATACAACCAAGGGTTTTACGAGACCCGAACGTTAGAAAAAGAGTTTCCATGAAAAATAAATGGATGGTATATAGGAGTGCTGATTTTGTTACAAGAGAAGCAGAAACGCATATAGAAGAAAGAAGAATTGATTTGGAAAAAAATAAAAGGGTTTATTTTTTTGAGAAATATTTTTAGGAATCCCATGAATCAAGCCATTGAAATTGTATTTATTTTAATTTTTCCTTTCTAATAAGATTATTTTTATAATCTTTTCTTTAATTGATAATCATAAAGAATTAATTAAAAGTGTAATTTGTCAACAAAAAGATTTGCAAAGAAATCCTAGATTGAGAGTGTGTCCCGGCCAAATCTCTTTGTGCTCATAACTTTCTTAATTAAACAATGTTTGAGTCCTAATAAATACAGTTTTCTCAATAAGTAAGACAATTTCATTTAATAATCCAAGAACTTCAATATATTTCTCGACGAGAATGGAATAGGATTTGAATTTACAAAATTGAAGACCCACGTTCTACCGATCTGAATTTAAATTTCAAGACACGTACGTACACACAAAAGTATATATAATGAATGCCTTGCAAAATGGGAAAATAAAAGGAAATTAAAGACATGAACACAAGGGATTATGGAAATTCATGATATATATCGTACAAATACGTTTTATTTTATCAAATACCCATCCTTCTATACTCAATGAATGGGATATATATCCACTCATCCAATTGACGAGTATATATATATATATATAATGGCAGAAAGAATCTTTTGATGAAAGCACCATTTCTTTCAAGAGAGTTCAAATTAATTCGAACCTCTTCTTCATAACTAAAAAAAATAAAATAAAAAAGTAAAAAAACATACTACCTATTAATTATATGATGATTAATTAATGTTATAGCTACAAGAAGGTAGGTAGACAAAGCTTAAAACCTAAGTTCGCCCCATGGTGTTCTTGAAGGGAAGTACAAGTGCCAGGCTAGCTAGCAAGCTAGCTTACATTATCCTGTATCATCGTTATCATTTCAATAAAACAAATTGATATATAAAGATGTGCCTATTGTAATTATTCATGGAAGCAATATATATCGTTATTATTCTTATTTCAATTTTCTGGCTTTAATATCCTTAGCTACTCAACACAAGAATGATCAAACATCAGCCATAAATCAAAATTTTGGATGATGGATCGATACTCTTTTTTTTTTTTAATTTCTTGTTTAATTTGCTCCCTTTGTTACTGACCAAATAGCTTGCATCACTGATGAGTTAAATTTTTTGGGTTTTTTTTTTAAGTGGTTGATGATAAATTGATAGCCGCGCCCTTCTTAATCCCTCTAGTTTTGAAGAATCAAAATTAATTTTTAATTAATACTCAAGATAATTTTTATATCAAAACTAAGTTTTTTAATCAAATTTTAAATAGGCCACTAAATTGTTTCTTAAAGAATTAAAAATAAATACATGGATACACAAATGTGTGTTATGGAAATGCAAAAGGTGTTTTTCAATTAAAAAAAATGCACATAAATTTCTCTCCACATCAATATATCAAAATTATAAAATAATATTAAAAAAACATTTTAAAAATCGGGTCCAATCCCATTACCCAAACGGAAAAGAAATCTAGACCCACTAAATCCATTCAAAGTCAAAGATTGGTTGACTTATATGGCAATATATATGTAGCATTGGCTTGCTATTGGGGTTGTGATTTATCTTTGCCTTTCCTCCATTTCAGAATCCACTTTATCTCCCACTAAACGAGTGTAACATGTTCCAAGCACTTTCCATGATGTACAAATTTGAAGCTAGTCTAGCTAGCTATATGTACGCAAATAATTTACAGATCCAAAGAGATTAATTAATTAAGGTTTGAATAAATGTCACTCATGATTTTTAACCATAATTAAACTTCAAAAAGGTGATTATCATGCATGAGATTTAGAAGCGTATCTAAACTAGGGTCTAACGTTTTATGTCGGAAAGATTTATAAGATTAGTTTTATGTATATAATCAGAGTCTAAACTCAAGATGTTTTTTCTTTAATATAGTTTGGTGTGTTGTTTTGTAATAAAGTTGGAAGATTTGGTCACAAAAAGGTCAAATAACATACCTTTTGTTTCTTGCATAAAAGTAAGGTTTCTTTTATGAAGTTGGGTGTGATGGTGCTGATTAAACATGCATATATAGTCATGTTTGATGAGACGTATTGAAGTGATGACCGATAGATGAGAGCTTTGAGCTATAATCCAAGGTTTTTGTTCTTATGTTAGAAATTTTAAAGATATGCCTTTTCATGGGTATTTAATAAAGTGATGTATAATGATTTTTAAAAGTGTTTTTAAATTGAAAATATATTAAAGTAATATATTTTTAAATTTTTATTTTTTATATTAATACATCAAAACCATTTAAAAAGCCATCAATTTTATATTTTTTTCCCATAAGAAACCATTTTAAAAAGATTTTAAAAAAACAATCTCATTAGTGTACATGTAGCTATATGTAATTTCTATCTATCTCTCATTCTTACATGTAAATTAAAGGAAAGTAATTGTGAGATGGGATGTTGATGTGGTGGAGGGAGGAGAGGTGGCTTTTTTTTTTTAATTAGTATGTGATGAATTGAATCATTCAATGGGCCAATGATCATCAAGGATATCACCGACCCTCTTCTATTTGATGGGACATTTTGAGAATCTTCTATGCCTAGCAACAAATCTCTCTCCCGCTCTATCACTAAGAGCACTTGGATTTCTTGGCTTTGGACTCCTTCGAAAGACCATTGCTTGTTGCCAACTACATATCTTCTCAGTATTTTAATTCTAACTATATTTCATGATATCCATCCTCATTCTTA